GGGAGTACCCCCCCCCCCAGTCAGCACTTACTCTCCTGCCAGTCAGCACTGCGTGTTGTGAACGTGGCTTCTCTTGTGTAAAATGAATTAAAAGTAACTTGAGGAGCAGTCTCACTACTGAAACCCTTAGTGTTTTGATGCGCATTTCTCTCCATAGAAGATTTCTGGAGGAGTTTGACCCCGTGGGGGTACTCCCTTATAAGGGCTTAATGGGGAAGTGCGACCAGCCAGGGTATGTTTTTCGAGATTTTTGTCTTAAACAGGGTATCGAATTTATCTTTTTTTGTCTTAATCAGAGTATCGATTTATCAATTTTTGTCTTAAACAGGATATCTTTTCTTGGAAGATAAACAGCAAAATTTTCACAAGCTCTAATTTTAATTAATATTGAATTCCGTTGATTTTGGCATTGATACCAGGAACATTAAATGTCTTAAACAGGGTATCAAAAGTCGGAAATCTGTCTTAAACAAGGTAGGAAAATCAGTGATATTTGTCTTAAACAGGGTCAGGGTATGAGGGGCCATGCCCCACCTCCCCACCCAGGAATATATCCAGTACGCCCCCTGGGCTGCAGGCCAACATAATTTTTTTCCACTCCCAACTTCCACACCTTGGGAGAAATGTAACTTCTACCGCTAAGTCTTTTCCTTGGTTTAGGATCATTTCTTTTACTTTGTTTTTAAAAATGTTAATTCTTGATAATGAGTTTGAACAAGAAGAAAAAAAAAGTCTCAAAGGATAAAACCGATCCTAGACATATACACCATGTCACTGTATGTATTACAAGTATTTATAACGGGTAGCCCAGTTTAGCAGATAGCTAGTTTAAATTGGACCCTGTGAACACCCACCCATCCTACCCCAGGGGAGGACATCCACCACACAGTAATCTTGTGCTTGGGAAATTAACATCTCCTACCTACTCTCTTGATCTTAAGAGAAGTTTCAACAAAAGCTGGTTAGTGGTGGTCTTTGGCTGCCTATAGGATTTCTTGCCCCCGTCTGGTAAGCTTGCAAGCAGTCTCTCATGTTTAAGTTTCTCCTTATGATGGCTTTTCTGAACATCCAGCTGCCCTAAGTTATAGTACCACTGGTAGCCACTTATGGAAAAAGATATTGAAACCCCTGTGAATCTGAGTATCTGATCTTAATGTTCATCTGGGTGTCAACCATATAAGATAATTGATATTTGTTTAAAACTATGCTGAAGTAAAAATTTGTCATTTTGTACTGTTTTCTAGGTTGATAGGCCAACTATTGTGCCTAAAAAACAGGCAGTAAAGAAGACTGCATATCGCCGAGCAATAACACCATTACCTGCTAAAACTTCCTCGAGGGTGAAACCAACATCAAGACCTCAAACTTCCCTGGGACTTTATAATGAGAAGGATGGTAACTTTGATGTTGTGTCCACTGGGTCCAGACCAAGCTCTGCATTTGGATTCAACAGCAGTAATGACAGAACAGCAAGTGGAAACAAAATTTCCAGGTACTGCAGTTGATTTCCGTTGCAGAGTATTGTTCTAGAAGATGCATCATTATCTTGATTATGTTATAATTCTAAATCTGATAAATTTACCACCTGCAGTCTGTAGATATAGTAAACACCAAGTGATTTCCCAAATTATTGATCGACCACTTTGTCTCTGACTCTTGCAAAATCCAAAAGTGACAGCAAAATTGGCAAACTTGATCTGATAATTAAAGAAAAGAAAATCACTAAAATACATGCAACATCCTCAAAAAGGAACTCTGGGTACTTTCTTCATAGAGGTAACATTTACTTGACTTTGCCCTATTCACAGGAAAAAATCCAAATTTTATTTTATTCAGGAGATTGGGAGATCATGGGAGGCATTTCATGGTTCTTAAAACTATTCAGGAGACTCTTACAGGAAATAGGATTGGTATAATGTTTGAAGAAAATAAAGTAATTCTTATTATAAGAATGGTTAATGCTTTACTTTTATTAGGTACACACAGATCGAAAAGTCCTCAAAAGGGTAAGAACAGGGTTAAGAGCTCACAAAAATCAAAGAAAGTGCCATCAAAAGCTAGAGTTGTTTGGGAGGACAACACTGAACAGCAAGGACAAGCAACAAACACTGATGCAAAATCAGCAAATGCTGATCAACCAAAATTAAATGGTAGTGGAGGTAAGTATACTAATGTAATGAATCAAGACAATTGTTGCTATTTTTAAAGGCAGCTTGCAGTCTGTAAGCTTTTTTGAAATTGTAGTTAATGTGTTGATTACTTATTCATTTTTTATCTACATGCCTGAAAGTTTCCATTAATTTATAGAATTGTTATAATTATCTAAATTATTAGGCAATTCTTTAACTCCACAAACATGGGCAAGGAGCTCATTAAACAGAGTGAGAGATCTTCCTCGTCGACGCACAGGGTTCAATGCCAGCGCCCTTATTCCTGGATCTGTCTCCACCATGGTGTCCCTTCCAGAAACAGATGAGAATCAAAACACAACTACATCAGCATCCCCTTCATTTCAAGATATCGTGGACCATGAGGCAAGTTCTGATTATGATACCGATCTGGAGGAAGACTTTCCAGGTAACTATTGATAATGCCAGCTGTGCTTAAACTACAGTTTTAATCACTTGCTGATGAAGAATCATTGCTGTGCAATAATTATAATTTTTGTGTCATCAAACAACTTTTTCATTTTCAGTGCTACGAAAAGCTTTTGATCCCACTGGAAAAAATTTATACCACAAATTATGCAAAGAGGAAGGTGAGTTAACAACTTGTTCATACTGCGTTATGTTTCTTAGGAAATGATTGAAACAAAGTTTATATTTAATGATTTTGCGGGTAAGGGTGAATTAAAAAAAAACCTCAATTTAGTAGTGATTTAATGTCAGATGGTACATGTAATGTCAAAGAGAGTAGCTCAACAGTTTTCATTTTTGTCTGAAACACGACAAGGCGTGAGTGCCAGATCACCATTTTCAACTCCTTATAATTACCTTATAGATACCATGATTGCCCTTGAAATTTGTAATTGCAGGGAACCCTCTTTTCCCAGATTATTAATTTAGAAAAATTAATATAGAAATCCCAAAACTCACATCTATGAAAAAATAGTGTTTTGTACATTCCAATCTTGATGGCTTATTCAGATAATTTTTCTTTAATGCAGTAAAAGTTCAAAGTAGGTGCAATTTTCTTCAACAGATCTTGTTCCAGTCTCATTCCTGTCAGACCGTCTCAACTGCCAGGAAGTTATCATGAAACATCATGGGCTTGGATCACATGGAACATTTCCTATTGCTAGAGCTCTTATTGTAAGTTCATTACCCTTTACACCTTAACATCAGTATACAGTTTCTTCATACTTTTCTCTATACATTTCCTATGTTACTTACAAGTACAATTTGTCTAACAATCAAGGGTTTCTTGAGCTGATGATCATTTCCTTTATTCTCATGACTTTAATTTTTGATTCAGGAGAGGTATTGTTGGGAAATTACCACTGTATGGGTTACCAAAAACCTAGGAAGCCTGGGGAACAACATAATACAATGTATCATTTCTAACCCTTGAAAGTCGTGGAATTTGATTTAAGGTCTTGGAGAATGACTGATTGTGAAATTTTTGGAAAAGAGATGAAAAGAAAACCCTTGTCACACAGTTCTTTTCACATTATGAGGGTTGAATCAAATTTGTCACAGGCAAAGACTCATGAGGAGGCAAAACACAGATTAAAATGTTACTGTTGTACAAAGCCGAGAGGCAACCAGGAATGGGCATGCTCAAATGAATATAACTTTTAGTTTGGAACAAAGCACAACTTAATCTTTCACACTTTTTTTTTCTGTCTTCTTCATAGAAAAACACATTTACAGAAAAGTTAGATCTGACAGATAACTATATAGAGGCAGCTGGGGGGGTTGCACTTGCCAGAATGCTGTTGGACAACTGCTACATCACTGAGATTGTAAGCTACTAAAAATGTGAATCTACAGAGAATGCCTCTAGAGGACTGTTTAATTCAATTAAGGCTAGATATAATTTTGTGTGTGCGTAATTGGGTAATTACAAGTAATTGTTTGTAAATGAATAAGAAAATGGAAATGAGGTATTAATTTCTGCATGCTAAATAAGGAGTCAGAAAGAAATACCATAATAACAGGGTTTACATTCATTTTTCTTCTTGGATACATTTAAGGAAATTATAATTATTCTGAACACTTTGTGTCTGAAGACTTTGGCTTTTATTGGTACTCTAAACCATTATTTGTGGCATAGGATAAATTAGTATATACTAAAACAGTGGATAGTGTTGAAGGCGCACTCTGATTGGCTAGTCAAACTCTGAATATCCTTTGCTATTTACCTCCAAGCAACTCGAGAAAAAATGGCATCCTGGTTTGCATCCGTGACAAGCGATGAAATCACTCAAATTAACGACGGTGGTGTATATTATCTCACTGTTTTAGTATATACTAAAACAACTATTCACCTCAGTGTCCGTGGTTAGCGGTGGATATTTACCTCACCGGTTGGCGGCTCGGTAGATGGCACCACTAACCACCTCCACTTGGGTGAATAGTTGTTAACTATTCCATGTGTTGATATGATTCTTCTAAAATCAGTTACAATGAGCGTCAGGAAACCAATTTTGTTAAGATTTTCTTTTAGCAGCTTAGACAACAGATCTAGACAGAAAGTTATTAGCTACCTACAATCTGAGGGTCACACTTGATCCAGGTATTGTTATATTAGACATGACATGATAGGCCAATTAATACATAAAACTTAAACCAGTACAGTGTGATTTATGTACCGGTAATTTCAGGAAGAAGTAGTTATTTGCATTTTTACGTAAGACTTCATGAGAGTAGATCTCATACACTTTTATACAAATAAGTAAGTGTGTTAGGGAAATGTGATGCTGCATCAACAGGCCACATCAGTTGATAGGAGTAGTTTAACCACTGAGTTTAACTTTGAATAGCTGACATTTTTAGCACCAAACCATGCATGCTCAAGTGGAGCGCAAGTACATTAGGAACACTCAGGGTCTTAAAATAATTGAGAAGAATTTGCTACCTTTCTATAACATCAAGAAATGGTTAGATATTGTAGTCTTCTCGGATAGGGATGAATAAATGGAGGTCCCGTCTCCTGCAGGGTTGGGGTAGGAGACGTTAATTTCCCACACAC